ATTATTATGGGTGCTAGGGGTGCTAGGGGTGCTAGGGGTGCTTAGTAGGCTTAGTAGGGGCTTGTGTAGGCCTGGTTAAAAAGGCGGTGAGGGTGGCTGATACTGTATTTACATGATGTGGAGTTTTTGCGCGATTGTCGATTTAGTCCTCCGTAGGAGCGCCGGTAGAGCGATGGCTATGGCCATCGACACTGACTATGCAGCTGGACCGGGGAGGCCCGAGACTCTGAACCAACATCTTAAATAGTGGCCCATAGATTCCGGAAGAACTACTGCGACCGTATTGCAGGACGACTTCCCACACGCAATGCACTGGCCGAGTTAGCGACGCCAAGCCTCGCGGAAAATATACCCTGACACTAGCCCTAACGCCAGGACACTGCCAGAACAAGAAGCATTGTGTCATTCGGCCCGAGGAATGGTTGGATCTTGGGTTCCCATAGTGGGAGACTGACTAGATTTGTGCTCCAGGTTGTACGTGGACCGGTTAGGGTCTGGAGAGTGCGCCTTCTTACCGGCTAAAACATCGCACATCCAATGTCCAGGGTTGGAGGTGTGTATTGCTCACTTACTTAAGTACTTAGCTAGAGAGCAGGACGAAAGCCTTGGGGTAACGCTAGAAGGCAAGACTAGGAAAGCAACAATGCGCAATGGAAAACCAGGCGCAAAGGGACAGAGGAATGTAGTGATGTCAAAACAGGGAACGCAGACTTGGGAGCAAAATAAAGACCATGAGACGAAGAGCATAGACAAAGAGATTTAAGAAGAAAGTTCAGGAGCGTTGGAGGGGTGTTGGTAGAAGCAAAGAGCAGGAAGCACACAGAGAAACTCAATGAGGTCAAGACACGAAGAAAAGGCGCACCGCAAAGGATGAATGGCGAACGAAACCAGTCATTGTACAGACTCGAGATAGTAGAGGAACATCACATTCCCTGCCATAATTTCCAAAAGTCCCATCTCGTGTGCCGTCCGGACTCATGACACCCCTGAAGGCCAGAACAATCAAACCTAGGCAAAGATGGGGAAAGCTCGCCATTATCAATTAGATGATCGCGTAACCTCTAAACGCCATTTCAGACACAGTGGCCTGGAGGTCCTCGGCCGCAGAGATAGTCCCAGGCAAACTGGAACTCCGGCCGGATACGCCTTCTGTATGCAGGTGTATCAGGCCGGTTGCTATCATCCAACTCGAAGCTCATGAGTTTCCAACTGTCAAACCACGGCGGGGGTTGGACATCTGGAGCAGGGCACGGCCCATCGCTGTCTCTGGCAATCAGATACAGCACGGACTCCGTCAAGGCGTTGGCGTTTAGCATCTGAATGCGATAGCCGTGCCAGGGGCCAGAGGGCCCTGGGCTCGTTGTGTCACCATCGTAGGCGTGCGGGAGCCGGGGGTCGTCGGAAAGTATGAGATGCGGATCGTCCGGTCTGGGAGGGCCCTGGGGGTACCTCGGCAGCCACCAGAGGATGTCGGATTTGGCGAGCAGCGACACCAAGCACTGGTTCACTCCCACCCCAACGTGGAAGTGTACAGTCCGCGCATCCCTGATGTCGCCGCATTTGGAACTTCCTCTGTCTGCGAGGCGGATCCCGAGTTTCTGCTCCCACCATTCATTCCCCTTGCCTGAAATATCATCAAGATGGCTTCGCAGCCGGTAGAATACAATATAAGGGTGGTGTTGTTTTGGTTTGCGGCCATTCAGGTAATCCCAGGCAAGCTGGAATTGGGGTCGGAGGTGCCTTCGGTATACAGGTGAGCGGCGAACTCTTGTATCATAGAGCGCCGGTAAATAATGCAAGGACAGCTGAACGACTTTGTCTTCCAGGCCGGTTAGCTATCAAGACCAGAGTCCATCGCACTCGGTGTCGAAGCTTCGGGATATATGCCAGTAAAGACCAGGCCACGACAGGGAATGGCCTAGTAGAGCCCTTGAGCGGCGCCAACACCGTGTTAACAAATGCCGGCACCCACATTGACTGGAACAAGCATAGTTTCCTCTCGAAAGGCATATGACCTGCCAGTCTGTATATAGCCCTCCCCGGAAAGAACTCTTCGCAAATGCGATCAGCAAAGGAAGGTATGGTAAGCCCATGGTGTCGGAGCGGAGGACTGGCAGGCTGTAAAAGCCGCCAGAAGCCTCTAGCCTAAATTAGCTTTGTTCCCCGCGCTTATCCTAAAGAGGCTAGTGTTATTATATATTACTTTTTTTATTAAAAATTTTATATATAAATTATTTTTTAGCTAGATTTACTTATTATTTTATAATATTATTATTTATCTTATAATATTTTTATTTTATTTTTATAAATAACTTTTTTAGCCTTTTTAACAGGTTATAAGCCCCTAATTCTTTTAAAATTTTATTTATAAATATTACTTATTATTATCTATTTTATATTTAAAAATTTACATGTAATTAATTAAGACAGCAGCGCTGGAAGCCCTAAAATTTAATTAATTAATTTTAATTAATATTTATAAATATTTTTACTTTTAATATATTAAAAGGCTTTATAATACTTAATATAACTCCCATACCTATTATAAAAATAATATTTACTTTTATTATTATAATAAATTAAGTAACAAATCTACCGGAAAAAGCCTTTATACTTAATATAATAAATAAAAAATTAAAAGGTAAGGAAGATTATAATATATAAACCTGGTTAATAAGCCTAAAACTAGACCTATATAATCTTAAGGCACTTATTAAAAAGAATATACCTTGCCTAATATTAATATTAATATTATATTAAAAATAGGCAACCGCATTAAAAAAGGTTTAGATATAACTTATAAAAAGTTTAATAAATAATATTATATAAATAATATAAGTAAATTTAAAAAAGGCGTTATATATAAACAAGTTTTACGCTAAAATTAACTAGGTTTTTAATAAAAATAAATATATAATAGCTTATATAATCTAAGAGAAGGCTATTACTATTAACCAGGCTAGTTATAAAATAATTTAAAAGTTTATTAAAGCACTTTATAAAAAGTATAAATTTAGTAATAAATTTAATATAATTATTACTTTGTACTAGCAGTTCTTTTTACTTTTAAAAAAATTATAGGCGGAAATACCTTTATATTATAAAATAAAGTATATTTTAACACCTACAAGCATTATTAAAAAAATAACTATAGTATAGTTTTAAAAGGTTTATTATAAGGTTTTAAATAAAGCAAAGGTTTAGACTTTTATTTATGCGGTAGTATTAAAAAATAATAATAATAATAGTAATAAAAATAAAAATAGGGACAAGAATAGTTCTAATTTTAAAAATAAAAAATAAAACATACCTTGTTAAGGTGCTCTGGAAAAAGGGGTGTTTAATAAGTAATAGGTAAAAAAAAGAATAACTTTAAAAAAAAATTAGCAAAAGAAATATATAATTATTATAGTAAAGGACCTTATAATTCTTTAAATTATTACTATCTAGTACTAAAAAAGTAACTATTAAGCTAGTAATTATTAGGCAAGATCTAGTGCTATAAGTTTATTAGGCTAATAAATTTAAATAATAATAATACTAAAAATAGTAATGCTAGCAAGCCTAGCATTACCGCTATTTTTTAATAAACTTAGGGTAAATATAATATAAACTTTAATATATATAGCGCTATGCTTTTTATTATATTAATAATATTAAAGTTTTATAGTTAATAACTAGTAAATACTAGTTCTAGAATTTTTATATATAATAATAAAGACCTTATAAAAAATCTTTATATTATTTAACTCCTATAGCATGCATTTACTATATTAAATAATAAAAAAGTAATCCCTAAAGGGAAAGGCAAAGTAAACCTACATATTTAGTTAAATAATAGCAAGGTATTAATACTATAATTTAATTACCTATAATCTTTAAAATTACCATATAATATTTTACTAGTAAAAAAAATTAAGATAAACCTAGGCCTCTGGTATAATAGTAAATTATTAAAAATTTAATAAATTAAAAATAATAAGGTTATCTTTAAGGTTTATATTAATAAGAACGTGCCTTAGTTAAGTAAACTAAATATTAATAAGGAAGCAAGCTTTAATATAGCTTTAGTTTTAATAAGAATTTAGCATAGGTGTTTAGGCCATGTATTAATATTATAACTTAATAAGAATTACGCGCAGTTAAATAATACTAATAATAAAAATAAATATTAAAATAATAAGATAATTATAAATTATAAAATTTACAAGCTAGCAAAGTTAAAGAAAAAGGTTTTTAAAACTTCTTAATAATAAGTTATAAAGCCTTTATAAATAATACATGTTAATATTTAATTAATAAAGCCTTAGGGTATATAAGAATATAATTACACTTTATTAGCGCTTAATAATAACTTTAGGGATTATTTTTACTAGTTCTTACGCCGGAAAAATAAGCTAGCAAACATGCTTATTTACATGCATTTATAATAGCTTAATATAAGTAAAATATATATTATAAAAATAAAAAGTAATAATACCAGGGATTTTAATAATTATAAGGCCTAATATTACTAAAATTAAACTAGTACTAAATTTAAAAAAACTTTAAGTTATATACCTAAAAAAAATAGCAAAATTAAGTAGTTTAGTAGGTATATTATATAAATTACTTGCAGCATAATAATAAATATAAAGTTATTAAAAAAGCTATAGCCACTAGCGGTTAAATCCGCATTATATATTTAAAATTAACTTATTTAAAAAGGTAAAATAAAACTACTAGTAAAAAAATTTATAAAAGGCCTGGGGATACTAGTGCTAAATAATACTTTACTAAAGTATTTATAAATTTTTAAATATAACGCCTACATTTATATTCCTGTAAAAATAAAAATAAAAGCTTTAAAAATAATGCCTAAAGCGGAAAAAAAAAAACTTATAAAATATAAAAAATCTTATATTTATAAAATATACTTCCCGGAGTCCGGAAAGATTATTAAATTAAAAAATATTATATTTAAAAAAGAAAAAAATAATAATAAAGTGCCTTTACCTACTCCACCGCATTTACTAGTTAATTTTAATAATAAAAAACCTAGTAATTTAGTTAGTTTTAATAAGTAATTTAAAATATAAAATTTTAATAATAATAATTTATAAGTGGCTAATAAAAGTAAAAAAATTATTATAATTAAAAGGGTCTAAACCTTATCCTTAGATCTAGCGCTTCCTGCCCTAGAATTTACAAAATTTATTTTAATAAAAAAAGAAAAATTACCAAGCTATAAGGCTTAGCTAATATACTAATTAAGGCCACGTGCTTAGGTATTTAATTAGTAAATATTAAAAAAAAAGTGCCTTTAGCAGCTAAAATAATATTAAAAACTATAATTATATAAAAAAAACTTATATAAGTATTAAAGAAAGAAAATACTCCTAGTATAAATTATATATAACTATTTAAAGAGCTAATAATTAAAAAGATAGTTAAAAAAGTTAAAAAAGTAAAAAAAAATATAAAAAAAAAGATAAAAAAAATGCAAGCAAGTAAATTACTAAGTTTATTTATTTTTAATAATATGCTAGTATTCTTGCCTTGTAAAAAACAGGAGATATAGGTATAAAAAGTATTATAATTAATTAAAATAAAAAAAAATAAAGCAGTTTTAAAGCAAAAAGTTTTAGAAAACTCACTACCTTTAAAAATTAATAATAAAATGTGTATAGCCATGGCTTAATACTTTAAGGCTAAGATATAGTATTATAAAAGTAAAAAAAAAAAAAAAAAAAAAAAAAAAAGAAAAACACTTTTAATTTATAATAAAGGACTTGGGGCTAATTTTACCTAGTAAAAAAGTTAATAAAAAATAATTTAAATTAGTATGCTTTGCAAATAAGTAAGCAAAGTAATTAAAGTAAGAATAAAAACACTAGGATGCTAAAAAAATAAAATTAAAATTACTTAATTTATTAGCCTTACCTACACTACTAATTTTAAATAGCGTTTATTCTTTTAAAACCTATAAAATATTAATTCTAAATAACTATAAAAAGGTAATAAAATCTCCCTAAAAAAATACTAAATTAAAGTAATAAATAAGCAAAATACTAAGCTAAAAAATATCCCTGTATAAAGATTAGTTCCCTAATTTTTAGCTATTTAAAAAAAAAAATCATACCAGGAAAATGGATTTTTAACATAAAAAAAATAAAAAAAATAATATTAAAAAGTTTCGCGCCTGCTAGGTTATATATAGTAACTTTTAGGTTAAAAATAGCAGCCTAAAAACATATATTTTAGTTATTATTAACACGCTAGTAAAAATCTATTTTATAGCTATTTATAAAAGGGGTTACTATTATATTTAATTTAACATGGTAACCACCTATCTTAACTTTATAATAAAGCAAGAAAAGGTTCTTATAAAGTAACTAATAAGTTTAAAAAAAAAAAWTTTTTATTTGCCTACTCCTCCGTGCTTTATACAGGTTAAAAAAAGTAGTATACTTTTAAAATAAAATATTTATAAATATATTAAAGAGTATAAGCCTTTAAAGTATTAAAAAAAATCTATGTTTTTTTTATTACGCCTACAAGGGCAGTATTATAATTATTTATATAAATAATATTTTAGTGGCGGCGCTTATAAAAAAAATTTATAAAAAGTTTTTAAAAAAGTTAGCTAAATACTTTAAACTTAAAATTCTTAAAAAATTAAAGCGGTTCCTGGGATATAATATTAATTTTATAAAAAAAAAATACTTATTTTTTAAAAAACCTATATTTAAAAAATCCTAAATTAATTAAACTTTAACAAATTAAACAGGTAAAGAATTTTAATAAATCTAGGTTAAAAACACTTAATAAAGGCAGCTGTTGCTATATTTAAACTATTATAAAAAAAATATTTTAAAGTATTAATAATTAATAGAAAAGCTTAACTAAATATTTAAAAAAATAAGGCTAAATATTAAATATGCCACTATAAAATTATTAAGGTATATTTTAAATTTTTAAAGTGCTAACTTTACCGCGGTTAAGTATATATTTTAATATTTTAAAAAGTATTAAAATCTTAATATTTTCCTAGGTATAAATAATAAAGTGCTAGTTAAATATATAAATAGTTTACATGCTAACTATAAAAAAAAAAAATTAATAAAAATATATATATTTTATTTTTACAGCGCGCCTATTTTTTAAAAATTTATAAGGTAATTAATTATAGCCAAAAGTTTAACTTTAACAAAATTTATTATATTTAATATAATAGTAAAAAAGGCTATTTAGCTTAAAAAGCTATATATAGCTTTAAGGTTTAATATTAAAAAACCTATAATAGTTTATATAAATTTAATAAATATAATTATTAAGTTAGGAAAACCGGGGTATACTCCGGGAACTAAATAAATAAATATTTAATACTTTTTAATAAAAAATCTTGTTACTAAAGACCTTATAAAGTTTAAAAAAATTAATAAAATTAAAAACCTGGTAGATAGCCTAATAAAAATACTAAATAAGGTAAAGTTTTAAAGTTTTATTAAAATATTAAAGTTAATAGTAATAAATTTAGCATAAAAAATTAAAATTTTAGCTACTTAACCACCATGTTTTTATAATTTTTATATTTTTATAAGTTTTATATAGCTTTAATATATTAACGCTAGGGGGCTGTATTAAAGTAAAAAACTAGTAGGCTATAAAAGCCACTAAAAGCCTTTAGCCTAAATTAGCTTTATTCCCCGCGCTTATTTTAAAAAGGCTAGTATTATTACATATTACTTTTTTTATTAAAAATTTTATATACAAATTATTTCTTAGCTAGATTTACTTATTATTTTATAATATTATTATTTATCTTGCAATATTTTTATTTCATCTTCATGAGTAGCTCCTCTGGCCTCTCCAACACATGGTTGTAGCGCTAATATTATACCGCGGGACAGACAAAAAAGAAGGCATGGGTTGTAAGCACGACGCCCAAGATGAAGCATCTTAGATTGAACACGAGACTCATCCATATATCTGGTAGAATGGCGACTTTGAAAATGGACAGGCTTAAGCGCCAGTAGCCTGCCTTGACGTCGAGATTTCGCCGGTAAAGAGGCATTTTCTGCTGATACGAAAGTCTGCGCCCGTCATTCAAGCTGTTCTCGCTATCCGGTGCTGTGAAGTGGCAGGATTTGTGATTCAATTCCCAAGTTAGCTGGGCTGCTTTCCTCCATTGTTATCAGGCTGCCTAGTCACAGTGTTCGGCACCGTAGGTATTGGCTGGTTGTGGCTGAGGCCTCTAGAATATCTGTGCATTGTATTAAGCCAACTGAACCACTGGGGGTGTCAAAAAGGCGCACCTTGCTGGCCCAGAAAGTTTGTCTCTGTGCACTGAGTTGAGTCCAAAGCAGTAGAAAATGAATGCAGATGTGGCCTTGCACTGGCACGTGATGCACCAACGGGAAGCTTCCTCTTCCGTCTCGTGTTTCCTACTCCGCATCTTGTTACGAATGGCCCCCAGCAGAGTCCCAGCTCTCAAGGACTGCCCGACTTGGACGCGAGATGGCCAATAACATTCCAGGACCGTATCTGATCATACCACTCTGGGATTGCACCACCGATCGGTGACCGGCAGCTTGCCCTGCTGACGGCGTCTCAAGCGCCGACACCCCGACGCCGTAAGCAATGGCTGTCGACACCGAATATTTAAACCGGCCAGGACATGCTTTCTCTGCTCCAAATCGCCAGAAACCCTACTGCTAACAGTCACTCTGCCTTCAGCGCACTTCGTTACACCCCTCATGGCAAACCTCGTCAATCGGCCCCTCGCCGCCAAAGCTCTGGCTGTTCTTGCTGTTGGTGGGATCGGCACGTACGCAGCCTCAAAAATCTTCATCAAGGAGGCCTTTGCACAGTCTCCTGATCTGGAGCTAAAGAAGGTATTCGGTCGTGGGCCGGCGTTGAAGTACCTCCGTCTTCATAGTTCCGAGAGTGTCAATCACAACACGAAGCGGCTGCGGTTTGAGCTGCCCGGTGGTGAGCGCTCGGTAAGCGGGCTTGGTCTGACGTGTGAGTTTGGTGATCTGTGGATATGCTTTCAAGGAGAGGAGCTCATTCGTTTACCATCCAGCTGCGCTCCTCACGTTCTCCAAGCCAGAGGGTAGCTGGCTCCCCGTTGTGCGACCTTACACTCCTGTCAGCAAATTAGGTAAGAAGAAGAGTTGCGCAGCTCGCCTATGTTTGGAGCCTTGTTTTAATGGAAACAACAGACGAACCCGGCTTCGTTGACCTCCTCGTCAAAAGGTATCCTGACGGAAAGGCAAGCACTCATCTTCATGGCCTCAAGCCCGGCGACAACCTTTTCATCCTTGCGTCTCTGCCAGGGTTCAAATGGACGCCGAACAAGTTCTCGCGCGTATATCTCATCGCCGGCGGTGCAGGGATAACACCCATCTACCAGCTGGCGCAAGGGATCCTCGACAATCCCGCGGATAGCACGAAAGTGACCGTGGTCTTTGGCGTCAATACGGAAGAAGATTTACTTCTGCGTGAGGAATTTGACGCGTATAAGCGCGCGCACCCGGACAGGCTTGATGTCCACTACACCGTCAGTCGTCCAGGAAGCGACTTCAAGCCGGATCAAGAACTGCGGTCAGGGTATGTGATCAAGGACGTCCTTGCGGAAGTCATGCGTGGGCCAGAGGAGGCCAACACCAAGGTATTTGTTTGCGGACCCCCCGCTATGGAGACGTCGCTGGTTGGAGGCGGATTCGGGAAGCAGAAGGGGATTCTGGGAGAGTTAGGATATTCTAAGGATAGAATCCATCGGTTCTAGGCCAGTGTGCTTTATGTATGATAGAATCATCGTCAACAAAGTGATGGCCTGCTTCTCCCTTCAGAGCGCTTTGGGCACTCAACTGAAGGTTGCATCAAGATGAGCTCACGCAATGGCAGCAACAGCAACACCAACTGACATTGAGAACGACAAGATAGGTTGCGTCGAAGCTCGAGCTATCACCGGTTGCTGACCGGTTGCTGTTCGAGATTATGGAGCCGCAGGTAGTGAATGTTGCATCTGGCTGGGGTGAATTGGCCTTCTTATCTTGCCACCAACAGGTACAAAACGGGCTCCGCGGGACCCGCACTGGCTCCATCAGATTATGACTGCGAGAACACATCCGCTGCCAACTTTCTGCTCCATCCTTCAACCTCTTGAGCTCGGTGGAGAATCGCCTTGGAGCTACAAGGACGCCAGCTACCTTTCTTGCAGATCTCATGGACCTCTACCGTTGTCATCGCATGATGTTTACGGCCCTGGGCGCTCGCCAGGCCAACCAGCGCCCATTTCTGCTCCAGTGGAGAGCTTCGAAGGGCTTTATAATATTCGTGGTGGTTTTTGCTGTCTTCACTGTATTTTTCCTCTCCTTCCTCGGTATTTTCAACATGCTGACCGACGTTGACAGGACATTCTGCTTTATGGAATTGTATGTACTACGGATTGCACTCATGATCTCAGAGACTGACAGACCAGATCGTCCCTGTGACTCCGACTGCGCTGCACGAAAGAGCTGGAATTAGTGAAGGAGATGGTAAGAATGCTTTGATATATTCGCAGCAGCATGTGGCTAACAACACCCTAACGCCACCAGAACAATCTTGGACATCAGTCCTCCTAGGCCTCTACGGCGGCGCTCTTCTCACTTGTTCACGTACGTTCTTCACCTCTTTCCCCAAATCGCCAATTAGTAACACTGACACAACCCACAGTTCTCGCTGGCTACCTCGCTGACAGAATCGAATCCCGTCGCTGGCCTCTGATTCACGGTCTCGTGGCCCTCGGCGCATCGACAGCTCTCCTCTGCGTTGGAACCCACATTGGGCTCTGGATTGCTGGGCGTCTCTGCCAGGGTGCGTCGGCCGCTATCGTGTGGACAGTCGGCTGTGCGCTAATTGTCGACACGGTCGACAAGGATGCCCTGGGCCAAGCTCTCGGGTATATTGGCATGGGAATGACCTTTGGCCTTATGGGCGGTCCGCTTGTCGGTGGTGCATTGTATGAGCATGGTGGCTACTACTCGGTCTTTGCGTTGGCATTTGCGCTCATCGCGTTGGATATTGTCTTTCGTATTGTCATGGTTGAGAGAAAGGATGCGGTGCAGTGGCTTCAGGGCGAAGAGCAGATACAGCCACAGGTGCCGGTCGTCGCTGTTCCTCAGCAATCGGAGAGCGACACAGACATCGAGGGCCAGAAAGGCAAACAAAGCCTGCAAGCACCATCGCCCCAAGACACGCCCATCCCAACTCCAACCGCTGAGCAACCAGCAAGAAAACAAAAATGCGCTGTCCTCACACTCCTCGCCTCCAGTCGCATGCTCGTCGCACTCTGGGCCTACTTTATTCTCTCCGTGCTCCTTACCTCCTTCGACAGCGTGCTCCCCCTCTTCGTTGAAGAGACTTTCCACTGGGCCCAGACCGCACAGGGTCTCATCTTCATTCCACTAACTTTCCCGCATATTATTGGTCCCGCGGTTGGGTACATCAATGACCGCTTCCCAGCATCCAGACGCTACGTCGCGGGCGGCGCGTTCTTCGGCACGGTCCCTGCTCTCGTTTGTCTACGCTTTGTGTCGGAGAACAGCATGCATGATATCGTTATTCTCTGTGCACTCCTTGCCCTGATCGGGACCTGCATAGCAGCAATGTTCGCTATTATCCTTGCCGAAATTTGCTACGTCGTCCAGGAAAAGGAAGAAGCCAATCCCAGGGCCTGGGGCAAAGGCGGTGCAATAGCGCTGGCTTACGGCATGAGTAATGCGGCGTTCGCGGGTGGCAGTCTGGCTGGACCCTTTCTGGCGGGATTTGTCCGGGAGCATCAGGGCTGGGGCACTATGGCGTGGGTTCTTGCGCTCATTGTCGGTCTTACCGGCTTTCCAGTTTTGGGGTTCATGGGGGGGTGGATACTAGAGGAGAAGAATGGAGATTCAGAATAGCAGTCCAACTCATAGATTCAGTGCTGCTGAGCGATGATTTGGGGTTGTTGAACATTGCTCTTGGGATGTTTGAGTTCTTCAGCGTTTTCTGGCGCGCATACGGAGTACATGATACATAGTACATAGTGCATGATAGACTATGTGGATGAACATAGCTCAGTTTAATCTATTTGTGGTGCTTGAACCCACTTACAATATCTCTACTCTCCTGGAACATGAAAGTGTCCGCTCTTGTCCCTTATAAAGCGTTGGGTCTTGTACTGTTGCCTAGGTAATCAATATACTCGAAATCCCTGTTTCCCTTCCGGTTGTCTGGACAAGCTTACATCAATGCAAGAGCGACTCTTGATAAAGGCCCCGGCCTACCACTTCTAAGCCTCGTTGAGTTCTACCTCATTCCACTGAAGCGACAACTACCAACAAAGAAGCATGGTCGTCCAGCGAGCATCTGCGGCCTGAGGCACCATCCGGAACCACACCCGAAACCCAGATTGCCAAGACCTTCTTCCCCAGATTCCCTCGGAGCTCATTCCGACGACCTTCCTTCTCCAACAGGCCCGTCCATCATCAACCAGGCGGAGAAGCATTCTCGATGAACAGCACATCGCCCAGCCAAGATCACAGTGGCGCCGATACTAGCCAGCGGCCCAAGCGCCGCAAGATCGCCGTCGCCTGCGATGAGTGCCGCGTTCGGAAAGTCCGTTGCGACGGCGTCCAGCCTGGTTTGTGTTGTCTCTCCCACAACATTTGAAATCGAGACCTCTCGATTTACTAATACTGTTCGCGCAGCTTGTGGGCCGTGCTCGAAGAGGGTAGATAAGGGTGCCCAGTGCAGGTATACCGGCGAGCCGGAGAAGAAGAGGGCGGCGGAGAAGTGAGTCGCCAGTAAAATCCACGGTACGACGATCTTCGGCTGACGCAGGGTTGCAACCTACAAGCTACATCACGACCTTGGAAAATCGGATCAAAGCGCTTGAGGGGCCCGGGCCGGTTTATGTCCCTGGTTTCTCGGAGGCGAATGGGTTTCGCGGGTGGGGGCATGACTCTGTAAGCTTGGCCTAGGACGCTGGATAAGGGCAATTCAGCTGTTGTATCTTGATTGTTCTGATGGCTTCTCGGCAGATTGGGACACCTACTCAGCAATCAGGCCCGACGGAGACACCGCGTTCGCAGTCATCCCTGGCTCAGGCCACACCATTTCACAGGCCGAATTCTTCTTTCGGGGCCCTTTCTGGCCGCTCTCCCTCATCTGGCAATTTAGTTGGTGATTCTGTTCCTCTCATGAATGGAGCGACCCGTTCAGCTCGCAGGACGTCACAACCAACTGAAAGTGCGGACGGCATAAATGCGATGATGGGGGCTGTGGAAGAACGGCCCTCTCAAGAGTTTTTCGGCAGCTCAAGTGCTGCTAGCTTCATGCGCCAGATCAAGACGGCGGTGGACAAGAAGGTTTCCTCTCCGCAACAAGATACCGCAGATCCTGCCAACGATTTTGGTCTTCGGGGAAGTTTTTTATCTCCGCAGAGGCACCGGACAAGCGCCATTCATGACTACGTATTGCCCTCTCGGAAGACGGCAGACAGCCTCATGAATGTTTACTGGCATTACGTCTTTCCTCTCTATCCGCTTGTTGACAGCATTCAGCTCCGGGAGGAGTATGCACGACTCTGGACGGGGGAAGGGCTACAGTCCGACGAAAATATGCTAATGTGTATATTTAACGTTATTTTTGCTCTGGCTTGTCAGCTCGCCGATTTCATCACCCCAGAAGAGCGGGAGACCTCAGCAGCTTCGTTCTTCTCCCGTGCTAAAGATCTCTTACACTTTAGTCTTTGGGATTCTGGTTCTGCTGGACTGATACAGTGTTTATTGCTAATGGCGCAGTATTTGCAAAGTACCAACTCCGCTCATCAGTGCTGGATCGTCACCGGCCTCGCCGTGCGGAACGCCCAAAGCATGGGTTTGCATCTTCCGCAGACAATATCCCGTCTTCAAAGCCCCCAGGAGCAGCAGCTCGCCAGAAAGATCTGGCATGGCTGTGTACTTATGGACCGGTACGTACCGCTTGATCATACCCTTCATAGTCTAACGCTTGGCCAGGGTAATATCAATGACATTTGGACGGCCTGCTATGATCTCAAAAGCATCGGCAGGGTCCGTACCGTTACCCGTCACTATTGACGAGGAGTATTTTGCATCTGCCTCTGGTGTTGAAGTAGCACAGCCTACTGATCAGCCCTCAATAATGAGTTTCTATGCCAAGTCGCTGGAGTTGTACGAGATCCTGAACGACATTTTGCTTAGTCTATATAAGCCTACTCCGGAGGAGCCAGATGATGTTTATGGATTCTCCTTCAACAAGGATAGTAGCGAGCGCGAGCTGACTATTTTTGAGCTTGACCGAGCTCTTACCAGCTGGACGCGAAGTCTCCCGCCTCATCTCCGCGGCGAGCTTGCTTCGGGGTCCAACGCTAACATCTTCTACCGACAAAGCGTCGTGTTGCGAGCGAGGTATGTTTCAGCTGAGTCACTAAAGATGCGCTAATCAGTTGCGGATAGATTCTTGCATGTTCGGATGCTCCTCTTCCGACCCATTCTCTCCAAATATTGTACGTCTCGCGACGCAGCCACCGACCCGCTTATATCGCTCACGGATTCCTTTCCTCAACGCGTTGCCCTGCAATGCTCGATCATTTGCGTCAATGTCGCGCGAGATATTATTGACCTTATATACGGGAACATTCCTTCCGATGGAACCTCTGGCCCGCTTCCGGCCTGGTGGTATAACATACTCTGTAAGTCTCTTTTAAGTCATATTCTGCAGGAGACTTGACAGGTCGCAGACGTATACACGGCAGCCACCGTCATTATAGCCAGCCGGTTGTGCCCACCGATTCTAGAGGAGGTAACTGAAGCCGTGATTACCCGTTCCTGGAACTACGCTCTGGAAATCCTACGCAAGTACCAGAGTTACAGCACCTCTGCACGACGATGTGTGGCCGCACTGGAGATACTATATGAGCGTGCTGTCACCGATGCTCCGATTGGGGATAACCAGCCTCAGTCGCAACCCGGTCCACTCATGGCTAATTCGATTGAGGACATGTCTTTAGGTGAAGGCATGAATCCTGGCCTGTTGGACAGCTTTGATTTACCAGACTTTGGGGATATGTCTTGGCTGCATAGTGTACCGAGTCACTTATATTGACCGTGCACTATTTATTACCGGGAACCCAAATGGTATCATTCTCAGCGTCTGGTCTGACAGGACCACGGTTATATCTCGCCCCAATCCTCCCGATTCTGACATATCAGTGCCACTATAGCTGGAACGTCACACTGCTTAAGGTTGGAAGCTAAGCATCTGATTTTGGCGTCGTCCGTGCCGCCTTTTCCGCTCCCACACAATCAAGTTTGTTCGATTTTTCAGACCCCGTACCTCCCTTGTCGGGTGAAAAGATACCGAATAGTTTTTCCGTCAATCTAGAGGAAGGATGCTTACTTGGCAGGGGGTTTCCCGCATTCCCCCGCCGGGATGCGGAGGCAACTAGGGTTAGCTCCAGGTGCACGGCATTGGAGTGGCGTCTTCAATCCAGAGCACAATTACCGGCCCTCTCCTAGCTTGAGAATATGCCCGTTCCTGTCGCTGGCCTCAATGATAGCGCAGTGGCTGGGAAGCTTGTCCCACAACTCGGCCAGCTTTACCCCGGATCTGACTATTGCTCCCCGCACAAATCATAAAAGCCGGGCCCAGTCCACCCACAACGTCTTTGAACGCATATCTTTTCTGTCCGCGTGCCCCTCATTATGCGTGCGAGTATCGCCATTGGTCTAGCTGCGGCCAGTGTCGCAAGCGCGGCTCTCACTGCGACGGAGGATGGCACCTCAATCACTCTGGAAAATGATCGACTCAAGGCCGTTTACGACAAAGATCGGGGTAGTATTGTCGATCTGTACCTCGACGGTCAAGACTTCCTAGGTCCGCAATCTGGATCCACTGGGATTGGTCCCTACCTCGACTGCTACTGCATCCCCTCCGGTTTCTACACCGCTGGATCCACGAACCCTCTTACGGAACTCGTCCAGGGCACAGACTCGACTGGCACGAAATATGCAGGCATTATCTTGAATGATACATACACTCCGACAGGGCAGGAGTTCCAGCAGTACTGGTTTCTCCGCGACGGCGAGACCGGCTTCCACATGTTCAGTCGGCTCGCGTACTACAACGAGACCACCCCGTTCCTGCGCAACCTGCAAGAGTTCCGGACGCTCTTCCGCCCGAGTACGGACTTATGGACGCATCTGACCTCGAGCGACCTGCAGACTGCGCCTTTGCCTAGCGACGAAGCGATTGACGAGGAGATTGTTGTTCAGGATGCGACGTGGAGGTTTAATAACACGCCGGATGACGCCTATGTCCAGCAGTTCTCGGAGTACTTTACCAAGTACACTTTTTCCAACCGTATGCCTTCTGCCGCTTGCTGTTGGGTGCGAAGCTGACTGGCCAGAATGGCGAGACAACGACGTCCATGGGCTTTACGCCGATGGGTCTACGTCCAACGGGACGACTTATGGAGCGTGGCTGGTGATGAACACTAAGGTATGTTGCTCACTCTACACATGTTGGACAACTTGCTGACACTGCTAGGATACCTACTATGGTGTATGGATTCTCCCTATCACCGGGTCGATCGTAAATTAACTTACTAGGGCCCATTGCACTCTGATCTCACGGTCGACGGCATCGTCTACAACTACATCGTCTCCAACCACCACGGCGAAGGCACGCCGAATATCACGAACGGTTTCGACCGCACCTTCGGACCGCAATTTTACCTTTTCAACGGGGGAGAGGCCGATTCGTTGGAAGATCTCCGGGAAGAAGCTAGATCCCTCGCCAGCCCCGGCTGGAACGTGGACTTTTACGACTCTATCGCAAAGCACGTTATCGGATACGTTCCTTCATCGCAGAGAGGCAGCGTCAAGGGTACCGTCAAGCTCCCTAAGAACGCCAAAAGCCCCATTGCCATTCTCACCGTCGACGGCCAGTACTTCCAGGATAACTCCGCCGTTCCCTCATCGCACCAATACTGGACTGACATCGACAAGAACGGGAAATTTAGCATCGACCACGTCGCTGCCGGCAAGTACCGCCTGACTGTATACGCCGACGGCATATTCGGTGACTTTGTCCGTGACGGCATCGTCGTCAAAGCCGGTAGATCAACTTCTGTGAAAGACACCTGGGCGGCGGAATCCGCAGGAACAGAAGTTTGGCGTCTGGGAACTCCAGACAAATCCTCCGGCGAGTTCCGCCACGGCACAGCCCGCGATACAACGCATCCCCTGCAACCCCCCGAGTACCTTATCTACTGGGGCGCCTACGATTGGCAGTCCGACTTTCCCAACGGCGTCGACTACACGATCGGTGAATCCGACCCAGCAACAGACTTCAACACTGTGCACTGGGCCGTCTTCGGACCTACACCAGACAACCCCAATGTGGAATACAACACAACACACGACTGGAGAATCCACTTCGACCTCACCGCGAAACAACTCCACGCTCACAAGACAGCAACATTGACGATCCAGCTCGCCGGCGCCAAAGCCGCATCCGGAAACACAGACGTGTACAACGCGTCTGAACCGTACATCAATCTCCCATTGGAGAGCTACATCAACGACCAGGAGGAACCGCTTACACTTCTCGTCGGCTTCAACCAGTCGAGTAGCTGTATTGTGCGCTCAGCTGTGAGCTGCTATCAAGTTCGTGAGCGCTGGGAGTTCCCCGTGGATTGGTTGAAGGAGGGCGAGAATCTGCTTACCCTGCATTTGCCGGAGAATGGGACGAACTATGAGAGTGCTGTTCTCCCGACGACTGTTTATGTGCAGTATGATGCGCTGAGGTTGGAGTTGAAGTAGCTTCTTATTTTTCAGTCGATTGCTGAGAAGGTGATTCCGGGTCTAACAATTGCTTCAATATCCCGTCAAGTAAGTAATAGGAATAGTATATACAGCTCTCAAACTCCGCAGATCAGACATAGAGAATCTACAGCATAGCCTTCGGAAACCCCTTAAACGCCTGCCGAACCCCCAAATCCGCCAATATCTCCTCCGTCCCGCCGAGAATCGCATCAAACTTATACGTCCGATTGAACATCTCCACCACCCGTCCCATCCCGCTCTGCGTCAACCCTCTCCCCCCAAAGATATTCGTCGCCTGCTCCGCGATCTCCCCGGCGCACCGCGTAGCATGGCTCTTCAGCAGCCCAATCGGACCACCAAGGTTCTTGCTCTGCTCCGCGTAGCTCATATTGTTCATCTGGTACGCGATGCTCTCCAGCCACGCCTGATTGCTTTCGGTCAAACTAATCATGCGCGCGAGCTTCTGCCGGAGAACGGGCTGCTCGATGAGCCGCTTCCCGAACACGATGCGCTGGTTGCACCATTTCAGACACTCCTCTACGACTGTCATGCTGAAGCGCACGACCGCGCATACCATCATGAAGCGCTCGTGGTTGAAGTTCGACATTATCACCGTGAAGCCGTTGTGTTCTTCGCCGAGGAGGTGGTCGGCGGGGACGCGGACGCTGTCGAATTCCACGAAGGCCGTTGCGGCCGTTGTGCTGTACGAGGTTTTGATTTGGGACGTTGTGACGGTGTCGGAGCGTGGGATTAGCAGCACCGAGAATCCCTTGGCTGTTCGGCACGCTGTTACGAAGTAGTCGGCGTACATGCCGTTTGTGATCCATTTCCTGCGCGGTGCGTTAGTATAGGAGCTGTGAATTTGTAGGGATTTTGTGGAGTGGGAGGGGGTGCGTACTTGGTCCCCTTGACGATGTAGTACTTCCCATCGGCCGTCTTCTCGGCTGTGGTCCTGAGCCCCGCGACGTCGCTGCCTGCGAATGCCTCCGTCACGGCGAGACACATCTTCTTCTTGCCTGAGAGGACCTCCTCCGTTACTTTTTGCCGGAGTGGTTCGTTGCGCAGCCAGTTCTGCACTGCTGTTAGGCTGATGACCATGCCGGCCATGTTGCCGTCTTGGAAGCCTGGGCAACTCTATCAGCACTCGCTCTCATCCAACGCAAAGCAAAGATCAGACAAAAGTAGGAGATAGGGTAGGCATACCACGCGCATTAACCCGACACATCTCCTGCGCCACAATCAAATCATGCAGGTAATCGAACTCCTCGCCTTTAACGGCACCACCCAGCAACGTCCGCCCATGCAGATGCTTCCCCGGCCCAAGCCTCATGGCCAGGATATTCGTGCCCGGATCCGCCATCCTATCAATCAATTCCTGGGAAATATAGCTCCCATCTTTCTCCTTCTCCGCCGCCTCAGGCGCAACATGGACGCTCGTGAACTCCCGGATCGCCCTCTGCAGCCGCCGGTGACTCTCGCTGTAATACGGGGACTTGAAGCCCGGTCGTAGCCAGAGGGGTTCTGCGTACGGCACGGGGCTCAGACTGTCAGCGCTTGGGTCGAGGACTTGGGGCTTCTCGTCGGCGATTGTTCCGATGCAGAGGGTTGGTCGGTACTTTGTGAGCACTTCGTGGCGGTGCAGGTTGTAGAAATCGGTCGTTGCGTCCTGGCCGGCGATTTGGGTTAGGACTACGCTTCCGCCTGGATGGGCGTCCAGGAAGTCGGTTAGGTCGTAGACGCGGGCGTCGATTATGCACCAGAGGGAGTCCTCTGTGTTGTGTTGCGCGACTTCGGCGCGGGTGAATGTTTGGGACATGCTGGTGCGAGGGGGTTTGGGAGGGATGCAGAGGGAAGGGAGGTTGTGTTAGAGTTGAGGGACGCGAGACAGGAGTAAGACACGGAAGGGAAGATGCATTTATTTGTATGGACGATGGATGGCCTGAGCCTGGTTACCCCGGAATTCGGACGGCCAATCAGCGGCTGCGAATTAATATTGGGGGCGGGGTGCCGAGGTTGGGTTTGATGGTCCGGGGTTTTCACAACAATGCAATTGTTTCTGCTATTTATAAGGTTGTATTCGAATTGATCGGTGAGAGGCACCTCGGCTACAAACCAAATTTGAAAAGTCCTGTAGCAAAGCATCACTGTTGATGTGGAAAGCATCATATTGTTCAGGAGATTGCAGTCGCCAAGGATCTGTAGGTAAAAACAACCTCGGCTCATTCTCTCGCTGAATGGACAGGGTGGACTAGGCCTCTACACTTATAGTCTCGGCTTCTAATCTTTCACAATGTATAGCTCCGAATCTAGATCGCCGCTTATGCAGATCCTAAGCCTCAGTGCTCTGCGTCGGATCCATACTGGTCTCGATCTTCCGGATGACTCGTGCCGGATTGCCAGCAACGAAGTGGAAGGGCGGGACATCCTAACAAGCCTCAGTCAGTGATCTTCCATAGTCAAGAATGACGGATAGCTACCTTCGTAACAACGGACCCCGCTCCCACCGTACTCCCCCTCCCAATCCGCACCCCCGCAAGAATCATCGCACTGCCCCCTATCCACACATCGTCCTCAATATGCACCTCCTTCCCGGCCTCGGGGCCCTCTAGTCCCCGCCGCACAGCGGGATCCATCGGGTGCGTGGCGCCATAAATACGAATGTGCGGACCGAATAGGACGCGTTCGCCGATGGTTATCAGGCACGTATCGAGAATGGTCGTGTCGAAGTTGATGAAACTGCCCGGCTTGACTTTGAGATTGATGCCGTGGTCGACTGAGAACGGGGGATCGACGACTGGGTCTGTCGCGTCGAACTGCTTTGCGTCTGCTTCTGGGTCGGGATTCACTGGTGGGAGGGGTCGAGTGTCGCCGATTATACTGGTAAAAGTATGCGTGTAAGAGGCGAGTTTGTGGTGGCATTGGACGGCACTCACTCTCTCCACAGCTCGACTCGCCGCCGTCGAGAGACTTGGCCGGCTTCGTTGAACCGTTTGCATGCTTCCCTGCAGCGATCGCGGTTCGCTTGTAGGTCGGCGTCCCAGGCCCAGTAGAGCTCGCCGTTCAGCATCTTTTGCCATTCTTTGGAGGTAGCCATGATGTGTATTCGGTGTTGAGATTTGGCGACAATCTAGGAGGCGGTCATGGATTTATTTATCTTATATCTCGGCGACCAGCGCTGCGTGATTGCTTGTTTGCCTCGTGCATCGAGATATCGTCAGAGCTGGAGCCCCGCGTTGCCCCACCGGTTGGGTTTACTTCCGTATTAGGCAGTTTGCGCAACCTGTGACCGAAGCCCGTACGCGACGGTGACACGGGGTCCGCTGGCCTTATTTCAGCCGGTCGTGATAACAGAAGTTGAGGAATGCAAAGTAATATTTGGACTCAGCTTCAGATTATAAGGTAATCATGCTGTTGAGTCAACTCCGGGAAGCATGTCTACGCTTGTTAGTCAAGTCCATGGTAACAGGAGAACACTTACAAAGTCCCGCCAGGAGATGTTCTCTAGTCCATCCTGCGCAGCCCGAGCTGTCCAGACCTTCTTCAAGAGATCCGCCGGGACCGGGTTGCGCATCTCGGACCGCCGTTCAATCTCGCGGAGCCTTGCCAAGACATAGTACTGCGAATGTCGAGACAAGGAATCAGCACCCGCCATAAACAGCGGGAGTATCAACAGCTCGATCAGCGTACTGTCGGAAGGAATATCGGCCGTCGCATCCAAGGTCATCATCACGGCTTCCTGTATCTCCGGGCTGTTCGCCGGCCGCGAAGGGTCCAGCAGCCGGTAGACGTGCAGTATGCACGCGAACTGGAACGCCACGGCTACGCTCACCCAGCGAGGATCGGAGCTTGGATACATCTTGCGCTTTGGGTCCCAAGAATATAGCTCCTGGTTCGCGAGGAGGAGCGTGGAGCGGAAATCCTCCTCTGTCGTCCAGCCGTGCTTGTACTCTTTTGCTTTCTCGAGTGCTCGTCCGATGATCAGGAATATTTCTCGCGGGCATCCATTAACGAGTTCAAATCTGTGTCCTCCAGCGCTAGCGACTATCTCACGGATCTCCTGGGTGAAACAGAGCCGGCGCGTCCCGGCAAAGGCTCGGATGATATCCAGCCTGTCGACGTCAGCGGAAGTCTTCCTCAATTTTAGGATGTACGCACCATGCCAGGTTGCCTAAGAAGAACACCGCTCGTTGCCGTCGACCATTGAAGCCCTCTGCAAGGAGGACGTTCTTGCACACGGACATGGCCCCCGTGATGTGCACGCCATGCTCAGATATTCCGGTTTCCGCAATCTAGTGACATTAGTCGCCGACAGCCCCAAAGGTGGACACTTACATCGTGTAGAAGCAGAACCTGTATCGTAGCGAAAACAGCGTCTTGCTCCTCCTTCGATAGCGACGTGGTCTGGCTCTTAGAGATCTGCTCTCCTAGAGCTCGTATCGCCTTCAGCCGGTACTCAACCGCCGTAGTCTCGTGCAGGCGTGTATTTTCGGTCAATTTACCCAGGTGTACCGCAGAAAAGCCGAGAACCGCATACAGCAAGCAAATCTGCTTCTTTGCTAGCGGTATTATATAAGCTCTGTAGGGGTTATCCTTGTCGTCGCCGATCTCCGCCAGCTGATGCGGGCAAATAAACGTGTCATCTGGAGCGCGTCAATGCAAACCAATATTCTCAACTCTATCCTGACGTACAGTGGTCCAGAAGAGTCTTTGTCTGCGCCCAATTCAAAATGCTTGCGATATCATCGGTATCACCAGCAGGTTGCACCAGTATCGAATCAATCGCCAGGCGTGTAGATCTTTGCGGTTCCGAAGGCGTAGACGAGTCACTGGGTGACTGTTGCTGCTGCACCTCAATGACATTCGTTTGGCTGTCAAAAACAATGTCTCTCTCAGCCACGGGAATGCGAGCATTCTTCCACTTCCCACGACTTGCTATCCCACAGAAGCGGAACTGATCTGGGTACCCGCGGCATACAAGTCCTTTGGAGATACATCGCTGGCAGCTGGGCCGACCACGATCACATTTGCGACATTTTTCTCGGCATGTCATACAGGCCGGGCCTGGCTTGGTTAGCCTCGTGGATTAAGCTGAGCCCGGGCTGCATACCGGCGCGTGGCATTTTGACGAGTCGGCGCCACGGTCGGAAAATTGTCGTAAATGTGTCCCTGGAGGTATCTCGGGCTTGGATGGTGCACCTGGCTATGGGATTATCATCTCGATTAACTTATGGGTCGATGTTGATGTCTTCTTCCGGCTGGCTCTGGATGGCCTGGAGGAGCAAATTTGCGCTAGTCTGCTTGGGGAATCATCGGCTCTGGGACTCCGGTTCTTTTGCTACTGAGCTTCTTCTTTCTATACTCCGTACTAGGGTTCTTATATATATAAAGGCATTAAGACAGATAAGGTACGGAGTCTCCGGTATTGAACCCTTCTGGGCCAATTGAATGTGTTGTTGACACTGTGAGATAATTTTCATGGTGTTCGTCGTGACTATATATTTTCTGACCGGTAACTTTCAACGATTAAGAGTGTCATCTAAACAAGTGTTAATTAGAGAGTAACCCAGCTAAATAGTTCACTGTATACTCTTGCATTTTCTTTTGAATAGTTTGCTACCTGCAATGACACCCTAATGTTGAATTTGCTGATTTGAGTTGCCGATCTAGTCTTCGCACGTCAACGCGGGGCAGTGCAGCCTGAGCCCGCAGGCCGCAACCCCAGCCCATGTGGCGAAGTGCTTGGGCAGCTGTGCCACGCTAACCGTCTTAAGCTAGCCCGTGTCACGTGCGATAGCGATAAGCTCAAGCTGGAGCAGAGCCACGCAACTTTGGCGCCTGGAGCATCAAGGCTCACCAAGGCTGATTCGCTTCGATCTTCATCTACTCTTCTGCTTAAATCCTACAACATTTCCATTCTACAATACACTCCGCGCATCCTACTCTGACACCGAGCGAGCCAACATGGTTGGCAACACAGACTCTTTGAGCCCCGACAATGTGGTGGGGCTGGCGGCTCGAGCTCTCCGTCCTGACGACAGCTCCGAGTTCAGCCTCAAGACGCCCTACGAAGCTGTCGCTCTCATCGGCCACGCTGCGCTGGTGGCTGTCGGCTTCAGGCTGGTTGGGCTTGGTGAAGATCATACGATAGGTACGTATGGTTATCCCGTTTCTCGATCTCACTAATGGTTGTGCGTCACAGAAAGCTCGTCCGACAGCCCGTCCCTCCCCGCAGAATGGAATGCCGATTCCACATCGTCTTTCCGATACGCTCACTCCCAATCGTCGATGCAATACCTGCTGAAGATTAGCCGTCTTGGAAACAATGCTGTTGTTTTCGCCCTGGCTTTAGGCGATGATCGCACGACTTCTTTCGACGTCCCCGTCAGAGACTATGTTTCTGGATCGGCTCTGCCTCTTTCATCATCTGCAGACTTGACAACTTCTCTTAGAGAAGTATTTATTTCCGGATCCCGTCTGACAGACCTCATCTCGTTGTTCAAAATCAACGTGATACAGAAACTCGCGCCCGGCCTCTACAAGGAAGGACAAGAAACCTCGCAAGCTACGGAAAGACAACCAGAGCGAGCGCCGCAACTCGAAAGAGCACCAAGACACGATCCATTGAGAGACGACCAATACCCGCCTGCCCGGCCGTATCCATTTGATGATCCCCTGGCAATACCTCCTCGCAGACCGGGCCCCGTTCCCGATTTCGCACCACCAGGGTTCGAAGACGAATTCGAGATCCAGCGCCCCGCACGCGGTTACCCTGGCGCCGGCAGACATCCGCTAAATATTGGAGATCGCGACCTCTACCCTCCTGGCCTCGGACCGAATGACCCCATACGAGGCGGTGTTGGACCTGGTTTGACCGGTGGCGGTGGTGGCATGCATCCCACCTTTGATGATCCTCTTTTTGGAGGACCTCAAGGCGGCGGATACGACCCTCAAGCACCGCCTGGCGCAAGATACGATCCAGTAGGCCCCGGACAAGGGCCCCCGTTCGGCCAAGGCTTGGGTCGAGGCCGGGGTGGCCCTGGCGGACCGGGATCTGGGGGTTTTGGTGGATTTGGTGGAGGGTTTGGCGGTGACATCATTTGAGGAGGAAAGTACGACACACCAACAATTTGAGTGATCTGACATGGACTGTAATGTTAAGAATGAACGAATTGATGATTCATGCAATAGCTACTGATTTATTAAAATGAAATGCAATTGCTTGCCTGCACAATTGTGCGTAGCTTCCCCACCATACGGTGAGTGCTTCTCCGGGTGTGGCTTGGCTCTGCTGTGGCGCACGGGCGGCCAAACCTCGTCGACTCTCACTCCCAGCAAACCTGCTCCCTTTCTTGCTCTCGACAACTCCCATCGCCATCCCATCGCTCAGCATCCCGGATTCTTTTCTCAAATAGACTTCTATCTCGCCTTAATTTGTGCTTTCGGTGCCCCTCCCGCCCTCGCTTCCTCGCCCAACCCACCAGCGACCGCTTCCTCACGAGACCCTTTCTTCGCCTAGCTCTCCCACCCCTCCTCGCAGCCGTTTCCCTGGTTCTCTTCCGCCCCTCAACAGCTTCACCTCACGACAATGGATAATAACATGGAGATTGATGCGGCGCGCTCGCCGGAGCCACACCACCTTTCCCCGACGACTGATTCGGGGTCCATTCCCACGCTCGATGGCTGGATCGAGAGTTTGATGACGTGCAAACAACTCGCAGAGGAGGATGTCCGGAGGTTGTGTGATCGGGTGTGTTTTGGGCGGACTCTTCCAAGACTACAATTCCTAACTTCTACATCAGGCGCGAGAGGTCCTGCAAGAAGAGTCTAACGTCCAACCTGTGGTATGTGCCGTGTTTTGATTTTCGGTGATGCGTTGTGGGCCGTCCCGGCCACACCGACATCAGCGCCTGCGATCAGCCGATTGATATGGAAGTAGAAATGTCCGGTAACCGTCTGCGGTGATATCCACGGTCAATTCCACGATCTCATGGAGCTGTTCCGCATCGGCGGACCCAACCCCGACACAAATTACCTCTTCATGGGTGTGTTCCCCACAACGCTCGCTTTTGGCCCCTTGAACTGACCGATTAAGGTGACTACGTCGACCGTGGATACTACTCCGTCGAGACCGTCACGCTCCTTGTTTGCTTGAAAATTCGTTACCCCCAGCGTATCACTATCCTCCGCGGAAACCACGAGTCCCGCCAGATCACACAGGTGTACGGTTTCTACGACGAATGCCTCCGAAAATACGGCAACGCCAATGTCTGGAAATACTTCACCGACCTTTTCGACTACCTCCCCCTTACCGCTCTTATCGAGAACCAGATCTTCTGTCTTCACGGCGGTCTGAGTCCGTCCATCGATACTCTGGATAACATCCGATCCCTAGACCGAATCCAGGAGGTCCCTCACGAGGGTCCCATGTGTGATCTACTCTGGAGTGACCCCGACGACCGTTGCGGATGGGGAATCTCTCCCCGTGGTGCTGGTTACACCTTTGGGCAGGACATCTCAGAGGCGTTTAATCACAATAACGGATTGACACTAGTTGCGCGTGCACACCAGCTGGTTATGGAGGGCTATAACTGGTCACAGGACCGGAACGTCGTCACGATCTTCTCAGGTATGTTCCTTGTCCTGTGTCTGGAAAAATCGCTAACTCCGGTAGCTCCCAATTACTGCTACCGCTGTGGTAACCAAGCCGCCATCATGGAAATCGATGAACACCTCAAGTATACCTTGTATGTACCATGCTCCCCCAAGATCGACGGGTACTAACTCTGCCAGCTTACAATTCGACCCTTGCCCGCGCGCAGGAGAGCCAATGGTCTCGAGACGTACCCCAGACTACTTCCTGTGATTTTAAAGTGATAGATTCCTTTCGCCCCAAGGCTTGGCAGGCCCTTGGAGAGGGCTGGCGGTGGATCGAGCAGTTGCGGCATGCTCTGCCACATAATCAATGTCCGCCTGTCGCGTGTTGATACCATTCATGAAAATAAGACATGTTCAGAATAAGATCGTTTGACTTTTACGATGTGATGATGTAACCTGAAAAGAGGCTCGCCCTTCCAAGCGTGCTTAGTCTGCAATAGGCCTGGATGCCTGGATGCCGTGCCCATATTATGGGGTCTGAATACTTAGTTCATGGCAGCACAATGACGAGCTGCGCTCCTAGAATATAGCCTTAAGACTTTTCGGGCCCCGATTCCGCATGAGAAATAAATAACTGGCACTATTACAAACCAGGTAGGTGTAGGTAACCTACCCAAAGCACTATGGCAGCATGACCCCTGAATTCATTTGGGACTCTCTGCCACTTCAATCTAGCACTGGGTTCCATTGCGAGCACCTGGCCACTGTGATCGCATTAGACTATGACAAGAGTCCTCGACCTGGTTGACTGGTTTCCAGCTGCGTAGGCCAGCGTTGGTCCCGCAAGCGGGTGAACCCGAAATTGTGGTCCTTTCAGAGCGCCCAAATATGGTAATGACAGACCGACTAGGTATCTTGAAGAGGATGTCTATATCCACCGGTTCGTTGTGGATGTGTTGTATCCTTATTCGGGAACCATAGCGAGAGACTGGAACTTGCGGGTAGGTTGGTGGTGTGTACGGTAGAAGCCAGGCATGGCGCGCGGCGTCTCTATCCTATGGGACCTAGATAAGTATGTCACGTCTGATGTCAGCCAGACTGTGACCGGATCAAACGAGATGGTGGATTGAAGACCTACAGTTGAAAGAGAAAAGAGGTAAAGGTAAAGTAAATGTAATGGGTGAACTATGTACAGAACAGAACCAAAGGACTATAGTATCAACGACACGCTCTAACAAATAAGCAAACAGTACCACAACCACAGCCAAGACCCCCAAATCTAAATCCTCAACCCCTTCGCCTTCCGCGCCAAAATCTCCTCCACCTCCTCAGCATGCTCACTGAAATGATCCACAAGACTATCCCACATCTTTGGCTCATGCTCATGCTTCTTCCCGCTTTTCCACGCATACTCGGTAATCGTGAACGGCCGCGAACTCTCAAACATGAACGCGATGCTGCCCTCGGAGATCTGCATAGCCGGCGGGTCCGTCTCCCCGCCCGCCGCCGCGGAGAATTCCTCGTACGCCACGCCGTGCGGCACCATCCCACACTCGAAGGAGATGGAGCCTGGCTTGAAGGCGTCGGAGCGGCCGCCGTAGTCGCCGTAGATTAGACCCATTAGTTCGGAGGCGGCGTTGCGGTGGTAGTAGGGGGGTCGGTAGGTGTCTGCGAGAATGAGTTAGTACGCACTCATTTGGGATGATGGACGGAGGTTTAGTGGATGCGGAACATAGAACATACGTGATGCGACGTCCCAGCGCGGCGAGAAGATAAGAACATCTGCCAGCGGCGCCGTCAAGTCGCGGGACTTGGCAGTGAGGACGCAGAAGATGGAGGGGTCGATGTGGTCGACGGAGATGGAGCCCACGTTGACGAATTTCGTGAGATCGTATTTGTAGGGCACGTAGTTGCCGTGCCAGGCGACGACGTCGAAGGGGCTATGCTGCTGCGTGCTCTTGAAGAATTTCCCGCCGAGCTTGTACACGATTTCCCAGGGCTCCTTGACGACCTCGTACGAAGCTGTGGGGTACAGGAAATCACGGGCATTTGCGAGCCCGTTTGCGCCTAGGGGCCCGAGTTCAGGGAGCTCGAACTGAGACCCCCAGATCTCGAGGATATATCCGCGGGATGGACCGTCGGGGAGTTCGACGCGGAAGCGCAGCCCGCGCTGGATGACGACGATTTCGCCGGGTTGTACGAATAACGGGCCGAACTCGGTTTGGATGTCGAGAGCGCCTTGTTGCGGGACGATCAGGAACTCGCCGTCTGAGTTGACGAAGGCCCGCTTCGTCATGCTTTTGTTGGCGGTGTAGACGTGTGTTGCGATTCCTTCGCGGAGCGTGGGGTCGCCGGAGCCCGCGACGGTCTTGAGGCCGGAGATGAAGTCTGTTTCCGTGGTCTCAATGTCGAACGGGTGCCAGGCGAGTTGGGTTGGGGAGACGTGGATGCGCGGGTTTAGAGGAAGGAAGCTGCTTTCTGTGTCGGGGTTGTCGGGGAGTTCAGTCTGTTTATCTTGCGTTAGATATGATGTTGTATTCTTATATTGGGTCGCGACGTACGAATCCCTCGTGTGCAACTGCTGGTCGGGCGCGGTAAAGCCAGGCTTTCTTGTTGCTGTGGCGAGGCGCGATGAACGCCGTCGCGGTGACTTGTTCTGCGTACAGCCCGAAGCGGACGTTGCGTGGACTGTTCTGGCCATGTGGGATTGTGCCTGGGACAGCCTCGGACTCGAATCTGGATTATCCTGGTCAGAAGTTGAATGCTTGAGCAGGATCAGTGTTGAACGTACGAGTTGCCGAAGCCGGCTTGGTACTGCGGTGCGTTAGCATGATGTCTTAAGGTGGGAGGGACGGAAAGCGTACTTCGTAAGGATCATTTCGCCGCGTTTTAAAGGAAGGGATTTTGCCATCCTTCTGCGTCTCTGCCCAGTGGAATATGTTCTGGTATTCCTTGGGGTCGGGTAGTGTGCCGATTGAACCCATTGTGATGTGTGATGAGCGACGAACTGTGGAAGAGAGAGCCGTCAGATGCGTAGGGGATATGTCAGGCCCAGCTCGACCAAAACCAGACGGGAGTCAAATACTCATATACCCAACTTGAATCGTGGGGTCAGGCCGGGCATGCCAGAGAAACCTCCCCATCTGATCGCCCTGGCTCCTTGTCAGAGAACCAGGTTTGGGATCCTCCGGCAACGTTCCTAGCATGTGGAGCAGCCAGGTCGAATACCGTCATCCTGTTCGTCGTTTTAATTGGCTTAGATGACTCTCCACAGCGCGCAGGAATCAGGATGCGTGGTGCGCGGTACCCCGGAAATTCCTCAGCGTTCGGCATGTCGGGGAGGAGCTTAAATGCCGGTGGCTGCGGTGGATCCGGAAATCAATCAGAGGAACTTGAGGAAGCCTGTGATGGTGACCCCACATTAGTCAGGCTGAGTAACAGTGGAGAGAATGATGGACGTGGAGGGCAGAGTGCTCGGAAGTTGTTTGTCGGGGAATTGCCGAGAGGAGATCGTCTGATGGGTTTGGTGACGGGGGAGTTGTGGAAGGAGAGTTGCATTGGAGGTCTCGCGGAGGCTGGGAACTGCAGGTCACATGCTCACTATACACAGAGTAGTAGCCTAGGAAATTCACCATCCATCGCTGCAAATTAAACGTATATACAAAGATATCTAATTCAACAAACTAATCTTGCCCGCCGTAAGCGCAAACACAATGGGTAAATACACCCCAATGCCCGCGTCCTTCAAAACACCAAGATGCTTAACCCTGCGCCTCGCCGCAAACCCGGCCTCAGAGATCTCCCTACACTCACCGACAGGGCCAAACGCAAACCGCTTCTCAGGGTTCCACGGACTCCGTCCATTCACAAACGCAACCCAGCGCCGCCTCATGTCCTTGCCGACTGTATCGGCAGACGGGTTAAACGAGAGGTCGACGCCGCCGAACAGGAAGAGCAGGTCCACGGCGTGGTGCGCCCGCGCGGACGCCTGCCACGGGTTCACTTGGTCGACGACGTACTTGAAGACGCGCTTTCCGGCGGCAGCGACCTTGTCGGAGATGATTTCCACGGGGAGGGTGTAGCGCGCGTCGTTGACGAGGTCGAGGGCGCCGAGTTTGCAGGCTGTTGGGCGGTCGGGGACGACGTTGTAGAGTTTGCGGAGGGTGGTGCCGTAGGTTTGGTCTAGCTCGAATGCGGAGGCGATGGTTGAGCCGTCTGAGGTCTCGATGCCGTTGCGCCAAATGACGGACTGTGCTGTTAGTGCAACTGCATGGATTGACTGGCTGGAGGGGATGAGCATACCTCGTACTCGGTGTCTCCGATCATGATCTCATCTGCCTGCTCGGGCCTCTTCTCCCAGTCCTTCAGTTCGTCGTCTTCTTGAATCCACATCGTGTTGACATTGCTCTCTTGTAACGCTCGGAGAAGAGATGGCACGGATGCTTGTCGGAGTGAGGACTCGCCGTATGACTGCACTTTCGCTTCTAGGGCTTTGATGAGACCGTTACCTCGTTCCACAGGTAGTGGCGACGATAGGTATAGTGATCCAGAAGCTAAAACCGCTCTCTTCACCGGCGGACCCGTGCTAAGGTGCGCATGGACGTAGATGGCGCCAGCGCTTTCTCCAGCTAGGGTAATGTTGTCCTGCACCGCGGATTAGCCCAGTACATTATTGAGTGGAAGGAGATGACATACTGCATTCCCGCCAAATGCGCCAATGTTCTTCCTCACCCAGTCGAGTCCCAATCGCTGATCCTTGATAGCCAGGTTCGTCTCGCCGCCGTCTCCGAAGCTGAAAATGTTGAGCCGGTAGTTGATCGACACGAAGATGAACGGCTGGCCAGATTTGATTGAATCGGCAACGATTCTTGTCGGGTCTGTACACACACGGAGTATGTAGTTAGCAATCCCACGTTGAAGCCGAAATGGCCGAAGGCAACATACCACAAATCTTCGACCCCGCCGAGCAAAACGTCATAATCTGTGAGCCTCCATGAATCCATACCAGCACCGGCAGACCCCCCTGATTCGCCGCACCCGGCGGAGCCGTAATATCGACCGTCAAACACTCGAATTCATCCTCGGGCTCGTCCTCAATCACAAAGTCTTCGGGGATACGCAGGAGATGGCGGACGTCAATGGGGACTTGGGGGCATCGGGGCCTACAGCACACAAAGTGTCATTAGCGATCGAAAATAACCTGGGTGAATCCAAAGCGCCATACCCAAATCGCGAAGCATCAACAGTCCGCCCGTCAAACCCATCCACCGGCAGCGCGCGTTCAAAGCGCCCAGGGATACTGGCGTATTTGATGCCGCGGAAGTGGTGGACGGCCGTACTGTCGCATGTTGTCTCGATGCCGGTGAAGGTTGCGTTGAGCGCCTCGTGTTGGACTTGCGGGGTCGTCATTTTGGGGTCTTGGAGGGATGAATGTGTTGAAGACCTGTACTACCGGGATCATTCACTTGGCCGACGGGCATGAGGCAGGCCCCTCGATCTCCGAGCGAGATTACTCCACATCGTCATCGTGCGCAGTGCTCTCGGCTGTGATGATGCCCGTTGATCCCGAACTGGAGTGGTTGAGCAGGTGCAGGTGGAATGTCTCGTGGGGCTTTGCGGGGAGAACGAAAGAAAGTGGTGGCGGGGCGGAAGCGGAAGTGGTGCTGCTGCTCTTCTCCGTTCGGCCTACGCTCGGCATGGACAAAGTGGAAAAGTACACAACATCATCCAATTATCAAGCATATTCCATCGCAAGCTACAGCTATCATATTCTCACTTTACGCGAGCCCTTACCGCCGCGCACCCGGAACGGCTCATGCCCAGGCAGATCAACGACCCCCTTCGTTCCCCGCGGCGTATTCCATTCCACTCTCGCAACTTTCCCATCAACCTTGACACTGGCCGAAAACTTGCCATAGGATGTTGTGAAACCGCCTTCGAACTTGTCCAGCTCCGTAAAAGCTGCCGGCGACAACACCCACTCCTCCCCCGCTGGCTTCGTCACCCGCAAGCCGAGCATATACTCCGTGAGAGTAGACGTTGGACCAGAACTCCAGCCATGGGAGTGGGAAAGATAGGGCGAGCCTTTGGTATAGCTTCTCTCCAGTCTATACTCCCAAGTACCATCGACGGTATATCCTTCCGGAGTCGTAGACTGCGTCCCGTTTTCATGGTCCAGGTACCATCCCCACAGGTCCCTGATAAGTGTTAGTGCGCGGTCCGGACGGCCGGCTTTGAAGTGTGCGTCAAGTTCAATGCTTGAGATGAACGGAGAGACATTGTCCGGAAGTTCTGGGCATGAAGGCCCGATCGGCGTCCAGTTGGTCGTGAGATAGTCCGATATGCGCTCGGCTTGACTGCTGTTCGAGTTCGGCGTGATCACGCCGTACGCCAGCGCTAGGCTGTTGGCATCTTGAGGGTACAAAACCGAGTCAGGGCTATCCTTGAACGCGCCGACGCTGTCGTCCCAGAGGTGTTCCATGATTGCCGTCTTGAGGGTCTGTGCTTGGTCGTTATAGTACTCCGTCCAATTTCCGGTGATCGAGTCTGAGAGCCAGCTGGCCATTGCTGCTCCACCGGTGAGTGCCCGATATAGTCTGTCGAACTTAGCGTTAGCAGCAATTCAATAACCCGATGGAGGAAAATGGTTCACCGACAAAATACTGGCCGAAGCACGCTCCGCACCATAAGTGAACCGACCCCAGTCGCGCTCTGCAGTGACCTTGACTATGCCATTGGGCGATAGAAGGCTCAAGCTTCGGTTAAGGCCTTTGATGAATTGAGGCCAGTGGTCGACGACAAAAGCCGTGTCTCCAGAGTAGAGGAGGTAGTTGTACGTGCCAATTAGCTGCCAAAGGTGGTATGCTGCGGTGGTTAGCTGCTGCTCACCGAAGTCGATATGGAGGGATCCCGCTTACTATCACTGTTTAGTTGAGCATTTGGCGGTCCGGCCTTCGGAAACTGGCCATTGTCCGCCTGTAGCCGATTGAAGTCAGCCTCGGCTTTGCGAATGATACAGGCGAGGAGAAGCAGAGCAGACCTGATTTGCGAATATAACAGCAAGAGCACTCCTTGCGCTCTTCAGCTCCCCGGTACTCACAAAGACACTCGGAAGCGCAGTCCCCATATCTCCAGTCCATATCAAGCGGTCTCTCTTGGCGCCGTCGACAAGCACCGTATCTTGATCGCTGATGACCTCGATGTTGTCCCACCCGTCTAGAGTATTGGGGCTCGGCGTTCTCATACCACTGTCACCGGAGATGGAGTTAGATTGCAGGGTCCAGACGCCGGCGTACCAGATCCTATTGAGCAGGCTGTCCGAGGAGTCGAAGTAGCCCTGATATGCACGGAGGTTGCTCCAAGTTGGTTGGAAGGACAGTTCCAAGGTGACGTTGGTGATTGTTAGAGTTGAGTTGGAAGCAGAGTAAGGAAGGAACAGAGTCAAGTAGCGGAATCCGCCACGAAGCTTCGCACGGGGCATGGTATATGTTCCATTCGACACCTGTTTGAGTTCCGCGAAGATTGCCTTGTCGTCTCCATCGCCACCTCGGGAGCTGTCGGATGTTCTTCCTATATGGTCTTTTGCTTCGGTAAAGGCAAGTCCAAGTTGAGTCTGAGGGCCCGTCAGGGTGTATTCGAGAGACACGAGACCACCCACTTCGAGTCCGAAGTCAAAGACCAGGTCAGAGGTACTGCTGTCCAAGATGAAGTTGGATGGATTTGTGTACTCAGACACAAGGTCCCCATCTGGCAAACGGAGGACGGTTCTTGGCTGGACGGTTCTCGACGTCGGGGCATAGATGTTGGACTCCCATGGACCGGGGAAGGACGGTTCCAGAGGCCCTGTGCACTGGACACTGTTCCAGCATGATTGAGCCAGGCAACTGCCGAATAGGAGACCCGGGATGAGAAGCATCGCGATGAAATATATGGGTTAAGTGATTCCATACTTCAGACTGAAGAAGACCATCGGCTGAAATAGGCAGTGTCAAGCAATGTCGGTCTAACATCGCCCGGTGCCCAGAGCCAAGCGATCAGATTAATAAAAATAGCCGGGCGAGCACCTCGGGCTGTTTACCCCGATGGACCCTGGAGATCCCAGACCCGATGCGGGGGTGGCTGGGGAGGAGCAACACATCAACTATGACGGAATTTCTTGCATCAGGCTCCTCGGCTAAAATCCCAGCGACCGTCATGCAATCCAGCATTGGCACTCGTCCTACCCCGTCCCCAGACCTGGCTGTCTCCAAGTTGACAGGAACTATTGGCGGAAGAATACATTGGAGTATGCCCGACCTTGCAAACGTGCATGGAATGTGACTTTATGAAGCGCCAGGTCCCCCGCCAGATGCAGGGACCACATTCTCACCCATGAACGAGAACTACCGTTATGAAACTCCTCTCCTGCATCCATCTGGGTTGGACCCTTGGACTCCTGGGTTTACCTGCTCAAGCATCGCCTGTCCAAAATACGACCGCGATCGCTTCTGGAAATGTCCGTGAACGGACCAGTCTGAACAAGGACTGGAAGTTCTGGCACTCCAAGGAGATTCCAGATAATGTCGTTTACGATCTGCGGCCCGACGCAAATGATTCGAGCCTCGTTGTGCTGAAGCCTTGGGTCCTTCCGTCTGGTAACGACTACATCGCGGACGCGAGTGCACAGTATGAACGTCCTTTGACAGAGCCGGATATTGATCTTCCGTACGTGGAAAATGAGTTTGACGACACTGACTGGGAGCAAGTTCACCTACCCCATGACTGGGCCATCAAGGGACCATTTTATACCGATGAGGACCCCGAGATTGGTTCAGCCATGGGCAGACTACCAGTGCAAGGTGTAGGGTGGTATCGGCGCAAGCTGGACGTCTCCAGAAAAGACAAAGACGACCTGGTCTTGTTGGAGATTGACGGTGCCATGTCCTATCCGATTGTCTGGGTGAACGGCCACTTGGTCGGTGGATGGCCCTACGGATACAACTCGTTCCAGCTCGATATCACGCCGTACCTCAAACCGGGCAAAGGGAATCAGCTCGCGATTCGGGTTGAGAATCCGGCTGGCGATTCGTCACGATGGTACCCTGGTGCTGGGATCTATCGCAATGTCTGGTTGACCAAAGTCAACCCTATCCACGTCGCTCATTATGGAACGAAGGTGACGACTAAGGATATTTCCACGCGGAAGGCTACAGTCGATCTTGAGGTACAAATTGAAAACAAAGCAGACAAAACGCAAAAAGTTGAGGTTGTCACGGAGGTCTTTGTGCATGGCTCCAAACATGGCCGAAAGGTCGCGCAGTTCCCCCGACAAGACATCTCTCTGCAACCAGAAAGCAAAGGGTCAGTATCTGTTTCTACAACCATCAGAGACCCTCGCTTATGGGGCCCTCCACCGACTCAGTCACCCGATCTCTACGTCGCCGTCACCTCGTTGTACGATGCCCGAGGCCGTCTGCTCGATATCTACAAAACCAAGTTTGGAATCCGGTCGGTAGAGTACACTCCCGATAACGGGCTGCTCGTTAACGGTGAACGAGTACCCATCCAAGGAGTCAACCAGCACCACGACCTCGGTGCCCTGGGAGCAGCATGGAACAAGCGTGCAGCCCGACGCCAACTCGAGATTTTACAAGAGCTAGGTGTCAACGCAATCAGGACAGCACATAACCCCCCAACACCTGAGCTCCTAGAATTGACAGATGAGATGGGCTTCCTCGTTCTGGACGAGATCTTCGACTCCTGGGCGCAGCAAAAGACCGAGTCCGACTTCCACCTTATTTTCAACGACTGGAGCGAGCCGGATCTACGCTCATGGCTCCGACGAGATCGGAACCACCCTTCCGTTATCATCTGGAGTTACGGGAATGAAATCGCAGAGCAGAACCGAGATGCAGTCGCAGCAGAAATCGCCACGTACCTACAAGGCATCGTGAAGGAGGAAGACACCACTCGTCCAACTACAGCATCGATGAACAGCGCATGGCCCAATTCATCGTTTGCAGGCGTAGTCGACCTCATCAGCCTCAACTACCAAGGGGAAGGACTACGATACGGCCCCGCCTACGCCCACCTAACCGGCAACCGAAGAGACCCCCAGTACGACGCATTCCACGCCGCGCATCCCGAGAAACTCATCCTCGGCAGCGAAGTCGCTTGGTCCCTCAGCAGCCGTGGCTCATTCTCCTTCCCAGTGACAAGCTACCAAAGCGCCCCGGTAAACGACACCTCAGGCGGGAACTCGACGACCCTCGAGATCTCCGCCTACGAGCTCTACTCCGCCGACGCAGGCTCAGCGCCCGATCGCGTGTTCTCAACGCAAGACCAGCACCCCTTCGTCGCGGGCGGTTTTGTCTGGGCCGGATGGGACTATATCGGCGAGCCGTATCCGTACTACGACGGCGCAAGGAGCGCCTACTCGGGCATTATCGATCTTGCGGGATTCAAGAAAGAACGCTTCTACCAGTACCAGGCGCGTTGGCGCCCGGATTTCCCAATGGCACATATCGTCCCTCACTGGACGTGGCCGGATCGAGTTGGAGAGGTTACACCCGTTCATGTCTTTACCTCTGGGGATGAGGCGGAGTTGTTCCTTAATGGTGTATCGCAGGGGAGACGCAAGAAGGAGCCCCTTACGTATCGGATTCGATGGGATGATGTCGTCTATGAGCCCGGTGAGGTGTATGTCGTTGCGTACAAGGATGGTACCGAGTGGGCAACGCATACCGTTCGCACGGCAGGCGCACCAGCCGCTCTTCGTCTTAGTGCTGACCGCGAGGCGATAGCTGCAGACGGCGAGGACCTCTTGTTTGTCACTGTTGAGGTCGTCGATGCAGAGGGTATTGTCGTCCCGCAGGCAGATAACTTGATTCATTTTGAGGTGTCGGGGCCAGCTGAGATTGTGGCTACGGACAATGGTTTCCAGGCGGATTTTACGGCTTTCCCGTCGCATGATAGGAAGGCTTTCAATGGGCTGGCCCTGGCCATCGTTAAGGGGGTTGATGGTAGGAAGGGGGATATTGTTGTTACGGCGTCGAGTCAGGGCGTTGAAAAAGGAGAGGTGGTTATGAAAACCGTCTAGACACAGAGGAAGAAGCAGGGCTAAGATGAGACATGGCACCTACATGCTACTGTTTGGATATGAATCAAACGAATGGAGACATGCTACAAAATCACATCAATCTAGTCTGTTGTACTGTAGCACTCACACCGGCGAAGTAATCTCGCTCTATTTATTCGAGGTATCTGCAAACATGACCGAATGCAGAGAAGGGAATCACTTGGAGCCCTGACTGGGACTCTGTAGGGAGCGCCCGGGGTGCCTAGCTTGTGACTACATTTTGGCAATCTTTCCACTCCTGCTCGAGGTGTAGCTGTAGAGCTATAGGTATCTGGGGCACGCACCAAAGCCTGACTACCTAAGCACACTTACCTAAGCGAGATGTCGGTCTAGTACGCGCCGACCTCCTCCACCTTCCAACAAACATGTCGGACGCTTCCTGCCTCGGTGCCTTAGGCATCCACGCTTACCCGTTTAGGACTAGCTGCACGTGACCCATAGACCTTATATATAGTATTTCCGGTAGCCACCTAATAGGAGACTTAGGCTTTACTTATAATACTTTTTATATTATTAGGTTATAAGCCACTACTTTGTCCTAGCGCTTTAATAACTATATATTTTATTTTTTTTATTAGCTAAAATAAAAGCCTTTTAAAGCACTGGAATACCCCGGGTTTTTAATATATAAATTTTTTTTAGCCTTATTTAATACCCCTGGCATACGGCTAATTATTTTTGCTATTTTTTATAATATTAATTATTTAATACTAATAGTTTAGCTACTTACAGCTAGCTAATTATATTCCTTATTTTATATTTACCACGCTTGCATGCTATTATTTTAATACTTATTATAGGCTGGCTGTTATTAGGTGCAAACCAGGGGCTTTTTTTAAGCTAATTAATTTTTTTAAGGGCCTGGATAAAGGGTAAATTTAGGGGTAGTTAATTTTAATATAAACTAGCTAAGTAATAATCCCCCTGTGTTGTTGGTACACGATTCAAGGATTTATAAAATCATTAATTAGTTGCTAAGATTGGCTAAGTACGTTTTAGGTAAAGGAAAGGGGTTAAGGGCGGTGCCTAACGGTAGTATTAAGTGCGTGCTATTAGGGCTAATATTAATAAGCTTTTTATATAAAAAGGCGGATACCCTTATTTAATAATAAAAAAGGTATAAAATAAAGAAAAATAAGGCTTAAGGCTTAAGTAAAAGCTATAAAAAGTAGTAATAATAATAATTAAAAATATTAAAAGCTTTAAAAGTAATAAAATAGAAAAATAAAAAAAATATAAAAACTTTAAAAATAATAAAAGTAAAAAATATAAGAGTTTAGTTTTATTTTAACCTTTTTAATATTAAATATAATATATTTATTAAAACTTTTAGTACCTAATTGTGAAAACCTTAAGTAGGCTAACCAGGTATAAAACAAAGTACTAAGGAGGCTATTTAATAGGGGATTAATATTAAATTTTAAGGCCTAAAATATATAAAAACTAACCTTTAGCTAATTATTTTTTACTAGGGTATTAGCCTTAAATATATATTAAAATAATAATAATATTACTACTACATGGTGGGTTAATACTATTATAACTTTTATTTTATTAGCTTTTTTATTTTATTAAGGCTTAATATTTATAGGTGTAATAACTTAGCCCTTTTTTAATTAAAATTAACCTAATTTTTAAATAGCTTTAATTTTTATAATAAACATGTTTTATTATTATTTTAGCTTAATTTTATGTTTAATTATTTAGTTTTTTTATTTAAAATAATTTATTATTAAATACGGGGTTATTTTAAGGCTTAAAATAATATTTTTTTATTAATATTTTACTTTTAAATAGCTTTGCTTTTAATGGCTAAAATAGCTATTTTAATAAATAATAAAAGTTTTAAGTTATTTTTTATTAATTTAAGCATTAATAAATTATAAATAAGTAGTATTTTATAAATAATAAAAAGGTTAATATAATTATTATGGTATTATGTTATTAGTATTATATAAGTAGTTAAATATAAAAAAATAAATTTTTATTTACTTTCTAATCTTTTTTTTTAACTTTTTTAATTCCCCTATTTTATTTTCTTAATTTTTTTATTTTATTTTTTATAGCCTAATATCTTATTTCTTTATTATTTTATTAATTATCTAATATTATGGCCCCTATAATAAGATTTAAAATCTATTTTCCTTCTTTGCTAAAGACTATTAATAGCACTACCTAAAACATAAAAAAAATAGTAAAGGTTTCTCTAGTAATCCAAAGGGTAAAGGTAAGTAAAAGGCTAGTAGCTTTAATAACAAGAAAAAAAAAGGGTAAAAAAAAGGCTAGTAAAATATATAAAATTTTATTATATATACTTATTTATCTAGCTATATTATAATATTTAATATATTTTTAATTTATATTAAAGGCTAGTAATTTAAATAATAATAATATTTTATTTTAGTTTAGTTATAAGTTTAATATTATTATATTAATTTTTTATAAAACTTATTTTTACTATAATAAAGTTTGCAAGCCAGTAAGCTTTTAATATTTTTTTTATATTTTATAGCTAATTTATTATGTTTTTTAGGTTAAAATAATAATAATAAGTAATATATATAACCTATAGCTTTTAATTAGCTATTATTACTTTTTTTACCTGTAAACTAATAATAAGAGGGTTAAGCTTTTTTTTAAAAAATAATAAGTTTTAATAAGGCTAGGAATTTATATTTTAAACTTATTTTATTATAATTTAATTATTAAAGGCTTTTAAAAATATAAAAAAAGCCTACTAAAGAAATTCTTTTTTTTAGTAAAATTAAAAAAAATTAATAAAAAGCCACTTTTTATTATTATATTAAAGTAGTATTATGTTATGCCTTGCTCCCTGCTATTTAGCTAATAAATCCCTTTATTATTAATATAAAAAATAATACTAAAGTTTTATAATTATACCTTTACCTTTTTATTAATAACACAAGCCATGTTTAATAGTTAATTACTAAGTTTTATTTTTAAAAAAAGTTAAGCTTGCTTATTATTTATACTTTATTAATATTATAAATTTTAATACTTAAATAGCCTATATTAAGACAGAGGTTTTAATTATAATTAAAGGTATTTAAATAGGTTCATTATATATTTAATTTAATAATAATACCTTGCTATTTTTTACTTTTTTAAAGCTAGTGTTTAATTTTATTTTTAATACCTTTTTAATACCTTAATTATTTATTTTTATTATTTTTTAGTTTTAGTATGCCAGGCAATAGCTTGGTAATATTAAGGGCTTGTTTTTATAATAATACTTTATTTTTTTTTACTTTAGTATTTTTTACTTTCTAAGTTTATAATTTCTTGTAGTTACTTATAATTTAAGGCTAAAATAATAATTTTTAAGTAGTATTTTATTAGGGTTTTTTTATTTAAATATATTAAATATATTTTAGCTTAAAGTTAGGTTTTATTTTTATAATTATCTTATTATGCTTGCCTTTTTTTATACTTTTAAAGAAAATTTAGTGTATTTATATTCTTAATAAAAACTTATTAATTATATTTTAAAGGCTATTTTTTTATTTTACTAAATATAAGTCTTTATTTTTAATAAAGTTATAGCTAATAATATTATTAATTTTTTATTTTTTATTTTTTTTTAAATTAAGCATAGCTTTTATATTAATTTTACTATGCCAAGGCTTAAGTAATAAAATATAAAAAATATTATATATTTAATAATACTTTTTAAAAAGTAGGAGTTAATACGCTATAAAATTAATTTTATTTAGTATTTAAAAAAAATTAATAAACTTAGGCTTAAGTTTTACTAGTATTTTTAAATTTAAATTTTTAGTACTAAGTTTAATAGGTTATTTTAGTTTAAATTTTATATTTTTTTAGCCTTTATTATAATAAGTTTAATAGTATTTTATATTTTTTTTAGTCTTTTTTATATTTAGCTTAAATTTTTTTAAGTTTTTTAATCCTAGCTAATATAGCTAGTACCTTTATTTATTTAAGGTTAACCTTAAATTATACTATAATTTTTAGGTCTTGGCTATATATAGCTTAAAAAGGTAATATTTTAATAATAATATTTTTAGTATTATTATAAATAAATTATATTATTTTAAGTAATATAGGCCAAGCATAATAATTTTTTATAATAAAATAATATAAATATTATTTTAAAACTTGGTTAATTTACTTAATTTATTTATTAGTTTAAGGGTGGAAAGTAGTTAATAAATATAACTTAGTTTTATAATAAAACTATAGCTTTCCCTAATATGTACTTATAAAAATTTTTTAATTAAATATAATACCTTTAGGCTAGCTATAATTTAAAATTTAATTTTAATAAAAAATTTTAGTTAATTTATAGGCTTAAATTAATATTAAAACAGGGGTAAATTAATATTATTTTATATAATAATTTATTATTATAAAAATAGTATTAATATATTATTTTTAGTATATAATAAATAGTAAGCTAATAATAAAATTTATACTAATTTTAAAAAAAGGGTAATTTAATTTTAGTAAGGCGAATAATTTTTTATAAGATTAGTATTAAGGTACCATAGTATATTAGTAAGTAGGGTATAAATAAGTAAAAGTTTTTATTATAGCTTTTATTTTTAGCTAAAAAACTTTTATTTTATTAAAAGTTTAGTTTTTTATAAACTAAAATATCCTGCTAAAAAATTATTATAATATACTTAAATAATTATAGTTTTAAGCCTTTAATTTAATAAAATATAAATTTAATTTTAAAAAGCTAGTAATTTACTTTTTATAATTAATTAATTTTTAAAACTTAATTTTTTAGCTTTTTTAACCTAATTTTTTACCTTTAAGGTTTTAATTTACTTTTAAGCCTAATTATTTATAAATTATAATATTAAAAATAACTTTATTAAATAATTTAATATATAATTAAAGTAAATATTTTTAATTAATATAATATTTTAGACTTAACACTAGGTTAAAACCTAATTTATTTTTAAAATTAG